ATAATACATAGAGCCATTTTGCCAGTACATCGGCATCAGAATTTCTGTACAAGGCAATAGAATCCAGGTGTTCACGAAAAGAAGAAGATTTTGGAAGTTCAAGATCAAAGATGATTTGCTGCCCTTCGAGAATTTGATGTTGAGTGACACGTTTGGACTGGCCAAGACGATGCGCCTTGTGCGTACAGTTCGAATGAGACACCTGATTGATTGAGCAAAGATATGATCCACCAGACGACACAACAAGCACGTTTGGACTGGCGACAATAGAAGTTGTGTGAAATGTGAAAACATTCGTATGTTTGACTGAGCGAGTATACAATGCTGCAAGCATGTTTAGGCTGGATAGTAGTCAAGTGGAAAGATAAGAACTTTCGTTGCATGACCCTCTAAAGACAATAATGACAAACACTATACTACGCCTCTTGCTACTTTAGTCATATAAGTTGATTTCAGCCATGTTATTAGAGCAATGCTCAAAAATCCTGTATATTTTTCATCAGACACAATCCCTAGTACACCGTCATAACCATCTATCTTGTAAAATGGCAGGAACGGCCAGTAGGAGGTGGATGTGGGTAATATATTTTGAACAACAACGTCTATCTCGTCCGTGAAGCTGGGTGAGCTTGAGGGACACTAAACGAGTTCAATAGAACTTGTTTAGTTTGTTGGAAGGTAGATACAGGCATACTTGACGAAAAAGGCGGGTGGTGGGATAGTCTGTGTGCGCCTGGGTGGCATAGAGGTTCCGAGCATTCCTTATGTTACAAGAGCTATATAGAAACAATAAGAAAGTTAGTTAGTACTCATTAAATGACAGTTAAGTCAGGCTAACCTGTAAAATGGAGGGAAGGGCCAGTAGGAGGTGAACATGAGTATGACTTTGCACAACGAAGACTATCCGTGTCCGCGATGCTGGAAAAGATTGACAGACACTAAACAGATTCAAACGAATTCGTTTAGTTTGTTGGAAGGTACATAAATGCAGATGTTTGACGCAAAAAGGCGGGTGGTGTTATGGTTTAAGTGCAAATGGGCGGCATAGAAGTTCCGAGTATCCAGTAGGCTACAAAAGCTTTAGAAACATCGAGTTCAAAGACAGGAAGGTGAGCTAATTGCAGGAAGGGCCAATAGGAGGTGAACATGGGCAAGACTTTGCACAACAACGACTATCCGTGTGTCCACAACGCCGGGAAAGCATGAGGGACGCTAAACGAGCTCAAATGAACTCATTTGGTTTGTTGGAGGGTAGATAACAGCGTCAATTTGACGAAAAAAAGGTGGGTGGTGGCATTGGTTTGAGAGCGACTGGGCGGAGCAGAAGAACCAAGTATCCAATAGGCTACAAAAGTTACAGAAATGACAAACAAGTTAGTTAGGATATGTTTAATGGCCAAGGAAGGTGGGCTAACCTTTACAATCACAAGAACGGTTAGCAGGAAGAGGGTGTGTGCAATATTGTTGAAAAATTGTGACTCCCGCAACCAAGAAAGTTGTGGAGACACCAAATGAGTTCAAACGAACTCGTTTGGTAGCCAGGAAGGTAGATTGATGCATAGGAATGAAACAGAAAGTGGGGTGGGAGTATGGTTAAAATGCGACAGGGCAGCATAGACGTTGTGCAGAACACGTGGGCTAGAAGAGCTATATATGCAACAAAAGAAGTAGTTAAGACTTGTTTAAAGAAAGGAAGGAAGGTGGACGAACCTTCGAAAACGCGGAAACGGTTAGCAGGAGGAGGGGCAGGCAAGAAGGTTCATTTCATGACTATCTGCGCTTCTGCGCATCTAAGAAAGTTGAGGAGACACTAAACGAGTTCAAACGAACTTGTTTAGTGTATAAGAAATCAGATGAACCGGCAGGCTTCAAAGAGAAAGGCGGTTAGGAGGATGGTTGAGAAGTGAGTGGGTGCTGTCAACATACCTGGCATCACTTGTGTAAGAGGGCCATTGCAAGCATGGCAGATACGAGTCCTTTTTATATTCAGGAAGCCACAATGCAGCACCACAGCATTCACATTTTTGATTATTTAGGAAACTGGTCATGTGACCACCTCCTGAAAGCCCATCAGATCTATACCCATTATATATATATATTATTGCTATTTTTTATTGGACAAATTGTATATTTCCATGTATATAAAATACTGGACCTTACAGAGAGTCCCTACCTTGAAAGCGACAATAAGTACTATGCTCCATTTTTCACTAAATTTTTCCAGTCCTTTATAGCTATTTTTAACTAGATTATTATGTATGGAATTTTCTTCTGGACCCTGAACATGCTCCCCAGTATAGCACAAACAGTGAGCATCTTCCTTCAATTTCTTTCTGATTTTTCTACTATTATATTGCCATTTTTTGATTCAAAAAGTGCACATTACCTCAGTTGAAAATATGCCCTATACTCTGAAAATGGTCCCCAACATTGTCATCAACAATGCATATTGTCCCCCATTTGTTCCTGATTTGTCTTCTGTTTTTATCACTATTTTTCCTTTCAAAAAATGTTTGACAACATCATCAAACCATCAAATCTTATGGGAAGAAAGGCAAGATTCAGTGTTAGAAGTACTGAAAAAATCCTTGAGATCAGAGAGTAACAAACTAGTGTCTTTATAAACTCAGAGGACTCATAACATCATTGCTAACAATGAGCACCATATTCCAACTTTCTCTGATTTTTGTGTTATTTTCTGGCAATTGTTGAATAAATTTCCATATAAGGAAATGCACCTGAGACCCTTGAAACAGTCCTAACATCAACATCAACAGTTAGCACCATTCTTCAATTGTTTTCCATTTTTTCTGCCATTTAATTGCTATTTTTCAGTTGGACAAATGCTGAGTGCCATATATGGAAATTTACCAGAGACCCTGAGAGTGTTTTCAAATGTTGTCACCAACAGTGAGCACCATCAGCCATTTTCTTCTAATTTTTGTGCCAATTTATTGCTACTTCT